CTTTACCACTAGAAATTCAGCACGAGATATACATATATATTCGGTTAGAACAAAATAATTAATATTCTCAAATGATCGGCATGCACCTTAACGATAATATTCAGTCATTCTGGGATAGAACTCGAGTTGACTAAGTCAACAGATCAAAAGGTGCTAAGCAAGAGTAACGGGCTTCGTGAAAATAGTCGCGGGAACAGACAAGATTCAATACTACAGCAATATGTGACGAAGAGAGTCACGCGGACCAATCAAATGCTGAGAATTGTATAGACACATTAACTTGCCTGTAAACCATACACTATGTACTTTGTACTCCGTTCCTGGTACAATTGACTATCTTGTTTATTCTTATAAATTTTCATAATTTAATGGATCATACGATATTATTATCAGTATGTGTTTTCTCTGTTCAGGTAAATTTATAATAAATCACATTTGTGTTTAATTTTTTTAAATTCCTTTTGTGCAACAAAATCGTACGATTCTTATTACAAAAAACATTCCAATTTAGTAAGTTTATTAATTATTGCATTACCATTTTAATTGTAATAGTTTGTTATTTTTTACTGCTACATCCCGGAATTATCATGCTCTAAAACAAGTAAGCAATAATGATAACAAAGCAAATCAAAAATCACTATGTTTACCGCTACATCCCGGAATTATCTGATAACAAAGCAAACCAAAAATTGGGTTTATTAATTATTGCATTACCATTTTAATCAAATAATATATTAATTGTCGAATTTGCTATTCTTACCACTACATCCCGTAATTATCATCTCTAAATCAAGTAAGCTATAACGATAAAAAATCAGGTTTATAAAAGGAAGTATACAATATTTAAATATCAACATAAATAAAAAGCAATTCAAAGGTTTATACATTTTCGAATATTTACCAGAATGTAATTGGCAAAGTTCACAATAATCAGTAGAATATATTTTGATTTATTAACAAAATTTATCTTAGCTGAGTTTTTTGAATTACTCAAATTCTGCTAGCTTTAGCGAAATTCAGCACGAGATATATATATATATTCAGTTAGAACAAAATAGTTAATTTCTCAAATGATCAACACATAAAGATAATATTCATAGTTATTTTGGAATAGAACTTGAGTTAACTAAAGTCAATAATAGTAACAGCTTTGTGAAAATAGTCGCAATATTCAAGATTTAAAGATGTAAGTATGATTCATAAATGACCTTCCAAATATAGTAATTCTAACTCAATAAGGGATATGATAGAATCATGACTTAATGTTTTTATATCATAACTTATCGTTATTTATTTCATAACGATAAATATTATAACTACTAAAATTAATATCATTTGTTATATTGACAGTTAGCCTGCATTATGCAAGCGTGAAAAATAGTCAACGCATAAATAATACATGATAAATAGAGTCATACGGACCAATTAAATGCCGAGAATTGTACAGACATATTAACTTGCCTGTAAACCATACACTACGTTGTATGTTATACAAATTCTGTTCCTGGTAAATGCATCTCTGTCTTTTTAATAAATCTTTTTTCATACTCTCATATAAGAAAGTCTCAGACATTTGATATAAAAGTCTCCGGTGAGTAGATTTTAATACGAGATACAATGAATAGGTGATCCTGAAAGACAAATACGTTTCCCAACTCGAAATATTAATTGATCTTGCCCATATATATCATTAAAAAATAGCGTGAAGTTCTAGTGATACTGGCCGATGGAAAAATCATATTAAAAATTCCAAAAAAATTTCGCGCATCATTCGCACTATTTGGATTATATATATTTAGATCTGCATATTGTATGAAATTAAGAATATACTAACTTAATTTCGTTATATAGCATGATTTTATCAGCACATTAGTTTCTAAATCTATATACCTTATAGTGGTAATTTGAAATCGCCCTTAAAAAATTAGCTATATTGCTCAATATATCGCCCATACTCGTCCCCCATATAATGGCATACAAAATTAATTTTTCTTTTGCTATCCCGTCATATAATACTACCTGAATTAGAGATGAGAATCAAATCTCTGATAATCGTTTTAATCGTTATAGTGCTTTGCAAAAAGATGTGAACATGTGATTTTTGTGATCATGATAGCGGAGAATCATTGAGATTATTCAAATTTAAGAATCTATATCATTTTATGACGCTTTGCAAAAAAGTGTGACATTATGATTGCATGATGATGATAAAGAGGAATCTCCGAGATTCTAATAGTAAATCAAATTTTGAGAATCTATATGAAATCATATAGAATTGTATACATTTTTTATATACAATTATTTTTTTAATCATGTTTTGATCAGTGATCGATATAAAAAATAATTATTACATATTTATGATTAAATCAGTATAAAGCTATTATATTTTTATTTTTTATTTTTTATATGTAACATATTTCTCTTGATAAATAACTAAAATGGCCGATGTTCAAGAAACCAAATTAAAGTATCGTCGAGGAGCTTGTTTTAGTTGTCGGAAATGCATGTTTTGTGGAATTGGTTTACAACAAGAAAAATGTAATTGTGACTTGTTTAACGTATCATATAGAGGTAACCGAACAGATACTGTAAAATACATATTTACAAGAATCTTCGATCTGAATTGGCTTAAAGAAAAAGTAGATTTTGTCTAGTAAAAAATAGAATATTATAATTATTCATTAAGTTCAAAAGAGTATTTTAGTTTTACTTTGTGTATTCGCTGCAATAGTATTTTGTTAAGATTATCCTCAAAAGCAATAAAGACCCAAGTACAAAGTACTATAACTAATTTAGAAGTAGATACATATGATCTTACTATTCCAATTAGTTAAACTTCTGAACCAGAAGAAAAATATTATTGGAAATCTAATAAAAAAGGTTATAGTAAGAAGGAATTTGAGAACTATGATGATAATGAATTTTTATCTGATGACGAAATTGAAATTGAATTTACTTATAGGGTTTTTATAAAGTTGGAGAATGGAATATCTCTTCCAGCAAAATGGTATACAACTTAAGTATCTATAGTTGATGAATTACTTTCAGAAATTCATTTGAATATAAAAACTTTAGTAGGCAAAATGCTAATTAAACCAAATAATTATCATATCATATTCAAATCTGAAAAGGTAGTAGGAGCAGGTACTCAACTTGTTAATACTCAAGACTTTAAAAAATTTCAAGCCAATTACCAAAAATATAAATCTAAAAGGATCAATATAGTTTTTTTTATAATATTTATTAACCTGAATCTAAAACAAAAATTAAATATAAGTATATAGTAATAAAATTTTATAATATTATTATTTATAAATAATATTTATAACATTATATTAGGATCTTGAATCTAATAATAAAATTATTAAACATTCAAGAAATAAAAACTCTATTCCTAAAACCTCAAGCTTATTATCAGCTGAATTGTTAATTGCAAAAAATATCTTAGAGATTTGTAAAAAAAATCATTATGTAATTTATAATTGACTATATTTAAATAAAGATAGAACTAAGAAAAATCATATCAAAATTATATTTATAATAATGTCAATATGGGTAACAGAAATAGTAAATTTATAATCTATATATAATAATTTATTTATATATTAATTAATATATTAATCAGGAACAACTCTTCCTGATGATCATTTGAACCAACTTTTCAAAAAGCCAAACTACAGAAAAACGATATAGTTAATATATTAACCTTCAAAAAAAACCTTTCTGAAGTACTATACTCGTATAGTTAGACATTGAAACAGAGTTGAAAAAGAAGTTGCAGCTTTGTGGGCCAGTTTAAAGTACTCTAGGACTATAGAAGAAGTAGTCGCGAAAGCAAAATTTTTCTTTTGAATAAATAACAAAGTTGGATATATTAGTTTTATACAACTGTAAAACCTACAAGAAATACCCGCAAAGATTCAAAGACTCACAAAAGCTACAAAGTTGGTTTACCTCTTGCCTTTACTTTTCTTCGAAGATTTTGTAAAAAGTGGGCATTTCAGTTTACCCCCTCCTAAAGATCAATACGTAAAATCTCCAAAATAGTTAGCAGTGTTTACTTCCTAAACAGGTTTATTAACGACTTAGTTCAGAAACAAAATAGTAATACAAACATGACTATATACATACCTTGAAAGTACTAGAACTCCAAAATACTGCTTTCGAACTAACTGGTGCCTATACTGACCCTCTACGATCAAGTCGAAGTTTTTCTTTCCTATATAGTTTTTTGATAAATATTCTATTAAATAAGAAAATAGTAGAGTAATTCTTATTTAGTATAGTCTATAATTTTTAAGATCTACCACAGGCTTAAAATATGATTGTCTGATATTTGTGAAATGCAAATTTCACGTTTTCTTTTTCTCTCCTTATTCTTTCCCTTTTTTATTTCTTGATTTGTTTTTTTTATCATCTACCCTTATACCTCTTTTTTTTTTACACTCTTAAAAAATTTTTTTTGTTTTTTGCTTCCCTATGAGAAGATATTATCAGTTTGGTAGTATCCTATTGTAGGGCAGCAGTCAGACAAGGCAGTCTATCTCTGATATAGATAGTGCAGCAGGTCATACTTAGGCTCTATATAGGAACTGAGTAATGCTAAGCTTAGGAAATTAGTTAAATTCTTCATAATATGTATAGTATTAAAAAGTTTAAGAAAGTAATAGTGTGACTGCTAAAGGAAAAAAAAAATTAATATATTAATATTTTTAAACATATAGAATAAAGTAATAGTATCATTTACAGAACTATTTACATATCTTTTATTTATTTATAAATATTTATTAAAAACAAAAATTCAAATACTATTACTATTACAATTTATTTTAATACAACAATCTAATTCAATTTAACAATTTAATCTAATACAAGCTAATTTGATCTAATAGCCTAATTCAATGCAACAATTTAATTTAATATAATAAGTATGTTTAAAACTAAGAACTATAGTTTAATTAATCAAATAATAAATTGCTGCAGAACCAAAAATATTGAGCTAGAGCTAATTAAGGTTAAAAGCTACAGCATAAATTACTAAAATAATAAAGCTAATGAGTTAGTAAAAAAAGACCTTTTATCTAATCTGGTACTAGAAGTATAGAATATTACTACAGGTAGTATAAGAGTAGTATTAACTTAAAAAAGCAAGCTAATAAATAGCCTTCTTAGATCTTTTATTAATATAACTACAACAATATTATATGAATATGAATAAGCAAACCTGAATAATATTAAACTAATATTAGATCAAAGATCAAACTCATATAGTAATAAAAAGCTAAATTGAAGAAATATATAGAGCTTGCTAAAGAAGCTTTAGAGAAAGAGATATACTAGTATTAAAAAAAGCAAAGCTTTGATCTTTAGAATAAAGTATTTTAACAAGTTATTACTAACTAAAGATTTTTGTTTTCAAAGAAACTTTAGCTTATATAAGAGTAAAACTTGTATAGCATACTTTGCAAAAGAAGAATTTCTAGAACATATTGCAGAATACTAAATATACTAAAGAATTTGAAGAAAGATTAAAGGTTTTATTATAGAAAAGCTAAGTATAAAGCTTGATAACAAATAGAATATAGCTATTTTAGATCAAACTTTAAAATAAGTATTTATAAGACAAGATATAGCTAAAATTTTTAGCAGGAGAAAGTTATATTTTTAGAGTCTAACAAGTAATCAGCTCACAACAAAAGTTAAAGATATTTTAGAATTTGCTTCCAAAACTAGCAAGGCAATAAGCTAGTTTTTTAAACTATTTTAGTTTAATTTCTTTAAAAGATTATAAAAATTTTATTATAAAGTTATACTAGAATAGGAAGAAAAGAACAATATCAAGTTTAAAGAAAAAAGAAAAAAAGCAAAATGAAAGCTTAATAAACCTGAGAAAGAAAACTTAACAAATAAAGAAAACTAGAGCCTAAGCAGTAATAACTATAAAAAAAAAAGCAGAGACAAGAAAAAAAGAATTCAAAATTTAGCTGAAGCTAAAGTTTAAATATAAATTGAAAAAAGAACTAAAAGAAAGCTAGTTAAGCTTCAAAAATAACTAAGAAATCTTAAAATAAATACAAAAGAGCCTTCTATAGATTATTAGAGTATGATTTTGCTTAAACAAACTGCTTTAGTAAGAAGAAAATTACTTTTGCAGCTAATTATACTTAAGTACTTAAGGTAGCTAAGTGAGTGCAAAATTAAAAAAAGAAGATAGTTATATAGCTAGTTTAAATTAGTTTATATTTTTGTTATAATATTATATATATTTTCTCTTAATAAATGAAGAGCAAGATTGTCTAAGTTTAAAAAAAAATATATTAAAAATTTTTAGTTGTATAAAGCTACAAAAAAATATAATAAATTATTATGAAGTGCTTTATAGCTTGAATTAGTTATCAATATAAAAGTAATCAATTAGTTTATTTAGATGAATTATCAAAAAATAAATATACTATTTCTCAAAAATATAATTATTTTAAAATAAATATAAAAGCTATTAAAAAAGTAGTATTTCTCTATAGCAAATAATATATACTTTTACTAATACTTTCATTAAATAGTATTATTGTAATTAAAATTATGAAAGTAGTTACACTAAAGAAATTATTAAAGAATTTGTAATTTTTCAAGTAATATAAAATATAATTATAGGTCTAGTGATCTTAGTATAGTAGTTAGATTGCCAAACTACTATACAAGAGGTCTGAAGTTCAAATCTCATTATTAATAAATTTAAATAATTACTCAGATTTTTGTACCTAACTTATAATAAACTCTATTTGTTTTTAAGCTTATAACTCTGTAAATTATATTAATTAGACATTAGAAGTATAAAACAATATTTGAGTTATATTGCATAAATAAATCTTGATAGAATCTATGAGCAGAAGATCTGTATAGTAGAAATCTTGAATTTAGTAAAGTAGTACAAATTTCAATAATTAAACTAATTAATACTTAATTCAATGAAAAATCTAAATACAAAAAATATAGATTGAGCAGATATGAGTAAGTTTACTGTATAATATAGTCTAATACCTTGCATTAGTAGCAATACCAACTTGGTTTAGCAGCTAACTAGATTAGAAAAATCTATTTTATGAAATATCTAAAATCTCAGAAAACTATATCTAGTAAAGAGCTATAGCAAGAACTAGGTTTGTATAAATATTGACAAAGGTCTAATCTAGTTAAATCTGTGAAATAAGCATATAACTACTCTAGTAAGAATTACTTTTGAGGTTAACTAGAGCTCTGGTGCTTACAATATATTATGCAAACATATCTTGAGAGGACCTAAGCCATGCAGTAAATAGAACTATAAGCAAGTTAGCTAGCTTAAATAGTCAGATATAGTAGTGATATTATTTTGAAATAGGAGGAAGAATTAATAATCAGAGTGTTTAAATAGATAACTTATAGAGAGGTTGCAGGTATAGTAGCATAGTATAGAACTAACAGATAGTCAATTGTCTGTATAGTGAACTACTTAAATTAGATAATAACTAAAGTTATATATGTAGTTTGTTATATACTCATCATATTACTGTAAAACCTTAGAGGTTTACTCATGTGATAGCTCTGTAATAACAAACTAATAAAATCTAATCAGCTAAGGAAGTAGCTTTAATAACAAAAAAAATAAAATATAATTATTATACTATATATATATATATATATATATTAATTTTAAGCTACCTCAAATTAATACATTTTTGCATACAAGAAGCATATTAATACTTGATAATGCAAAGATATATTATAACAAAGAAAATTAAATATTTAAATATATTTAGGTTTTTGTTTTTTTTTTTTGTTATTAAGGTAGCTTACATTGCTAAAGAAATTTTATTAGAATTGCATACAGGATATATATTGATAGTCCCTACTATTTGTAATTACATAAAGAGTATACAACAAGCCATATGTACAACTTTAGTCATTGTCTAATTTAAGTAGTCTGCCACACAGATGATTAGACCATCTGATTGATTCTACACTATGCTACTATACCTGTAATCTGCTTGTAAGTTACCTATTTAAACACTTTTTTCATTAACCCATACAGATCCAACCTAACATCATCTCAACACCTAACTACTTAAGCTAGCTAGCTCATTATAGATCTATTTATTCAAAACAGCTTAGGTCCTTTCAGGAAATATTGTATCTAATGCATTGTAGATATTGTAAAGCTAGTTAATCTTGAAACATATATACTAGAGTAGTCCATACCTATTTTATAGATTCACCTAGCTTAGACTCTTGTAGATGTTCGTACAACCCTAGTTCCTACCATAGCTCTCTACTAGTTTTCTGTATTCTATCTTCTCAGATATTTCATGAAGCAGATCTTCCTAATTCAGTTAGCTACCAAGCCAGGTTGGTGTTACTGATCATCCCTGTTGAATAGATTTATGTGCATCTGACTCAATCTGCATCTTTTGTCAATAGTTTTCTTTTTGAATCAAGTATTAGCTGGTATGACCATTGAAGGTTGTACTACTTCACCAACTTAGAATTTCTACCATGCAGGTCCCTTGCTCAAAGATCTTATTAAGATTTATTCGTATAATGTTATATCTCACCAAATACCTTGTCATACTTCCAATATCTAGATGATATTAGTGCAATATGATTTACAGAGTTACAAGCTCAAAAACAGATAGGGTTTACTATAAGTTAGGTACAAAGATTCAGATAATTATTTAAATTTGTTGTTAGTGAGATTTGAACTCCAAAGTTTTTACAAGGCAGTCTGACAATCTAACCACTATACTAAGATCACTAGACTATTTTAAATATATTTAGTATGCCTACCATGCAGGTCCTTTGCTCAAAGATCTTATCAAGATTTATTCATATAACGTTATATCTCACCAAATATCTTGTTACACTTCCAATATCTAGATGATATTAGTGCAATATGATTTACAGAATTACAAGCTCAGAAACAAACAGGGTTTACTGTAAGTTAGGTACAAAAGTTCAGATAATTATTTAAATTTGTTAACAGTGAGATTTGAACCCCAAACCTTTTACATGGCAGTCTGACAACCTAATCACTACACTAAGATCACTAGACCATTTTAAATATATTTAGTATGCATATTGAATTTTTTCTACTATATTCATCTAATCTTAACCTATTTATTAGTTTTTTCATATATAAAAAATTATTTAAGACAGTATCAGTACTTCATAAAATATTGTTCAGACTCTGAATACCTATTATTAGTTGTATGTTCTCAAATCACTTCTTCAATTTCTAGTAATTTTTTAATATAGCAGATTATAAATAAATTATATAACTTATAATTTATTATTTGATACAAAAGCTATATTATATTTAATTAGTGATTCGCGTGTCACCTGGACAAAAACAATAAACAAACTTAGTGTAACGTGATGCAGATCACTATATGATTTATATAGATAGTAAAAGTAGAAATGACGAGTATTTAAAGATATTTTTATATATATCTCATGATATATTAAGCCAATTTTAATGATTTAAGTACCATTTAAACCGTCTCAGTGAGCTCTACAACTTTATTTATAAGCCTAAAGAAAGTTTACTTAGTAAAAAAATAAGTTTTCTATATAATAACTTAAAAATTTCAAAAATTTCTACTTTTACTATATATGTAAATCATATAGTAATCTGCGTCACATTACACTATGTTGTTTTGTTCAGATGACTCACAAATCACCAATTATAATAAATCATAAGAAAATACAAACTTTAAAGAGATATATAGCAAAATTTTATTAATACAACTACTTTTGTATCTTAAATAAAAAATAATTCCAAACTTTTTTTAAATTAATTTATATAAAAAAATATCTTTTAAAAAAATTATCATTTTTATTTCTTTTTATAATACTTAGTTTATATGGGCTAGGTGCTACAAAAAAGGGGAAAAATGACAATTTTACTAAAAAAATTTTTTTTTGTATAACTAATGCAAAATTATTTTAGGAATCATTTTGTCTTATTAAAGAAATACTGTTATCTTAATAAAATTTTGTAATATAGACAAAATAATGTAAAAAATATTCTTTTAGTTGGAGGATTTTCGTATAACATTCCGATGTAGATCAGATAAATTTTTCGGAATTTATCAGATCACGTGAAATTGGATAATCCTAATTATAGCATAAATTTAGCATCATCTGAGATAATAAAGTAATAATATCGTACATAAAGATAGTACCCGTATAAGAGTCACCTGAGTAACCCATATAAGATCCGTTAACCAGGTCAACCTACTGCTACTCGGGTGACCCGAATTAATTAGTTAAATAAATATTCATCAGATTGGCTGGTTGATTCAATTGTATGAAGAAATGGTTAAACGATTTTAACAAACTCAGCTTTGAAAAACACTGTACAAATCAATTATTTTATAAATATAATAATCATTAGGTCATTTCTTCATGCATTGCCCATCAAAGGCCTTTGGTTCACATCTTGGCTATCATAACACCAAAGCTATAAATATCAATTATTTGTGTAAATTCATATAACTTCGGGAGAAACATAGGACATGACACCATAAATATCGCCTTCTAAAACATTTTCATTTCTTTCTAGGCAATCCTAGATCTAGCTTTGCATAATCGTAAATATCAGATAATTCATATTAAGCATTTTCAGTTTAGCTTTCCAAGCAAGTCTCTAAATTTTTCTTAAATATTTCTAAAGGCTTCTGTTCCATACATTGCGAGTTTGCTATGCACATCATGTGATTGATAAATTTCTTCAAAAAATTAAACTATTTTCCTTAAAACTAGTCAGGTTCTTGAGTACAATAGTATTGAATTTTTCACGCACTCTTGCATAATTATTTTTGCCATCATTATACAGAACCAAATCCTCCCTTGCAAATTTCTGTAATATTAGATAATCTATCTAATGGAATTCACTCAATCGCATGTTTATATTTAAAAGTTCTAAGTTAAAATTTTCTGTAAACTTGGAACTATCGTAGATTTAGAATCTACCTTTAAAATTTTATAGATCCAGCCAATATAAAAATTGGGAATGTGAAAGATCTTTATTAGGCAAAAAATGCATTTGCCATTCATGATCTTAGTAGTTGCTATCTAGGAATAACTGGGTCAACCAGCTCAACTGGATCACTCGGGTTATTTGGCATGACCCGGTAATGATATTTTAAATGAGTGAGTAACCCGGAGCTTAAATTTTGAACCAGGTACAATCTCTAATTTGATTAATTAGTACAGCCAATGTATTGTGAACTTTTATGGTTGTAGATTCGGTCAGTAATTAGGTACTGCATGTAGTCGATCTAGAAATTAAAGAAGTACTTTATACAAAATTGAAAAATTCAAGTTTACAACTTGTCATGTAATTAATTCATCGAAAATGGCCTAAAAAAAATTTCTGCTTAGTCTATTAGTAATAATTTTAGTAAAGACTTTTCTAATAATTAGGTATCAGGTTTTAAGGTAGATAAGGTAAGGGCATACAGAAAATTATACTCTGGTCACTATATCAAGATCGCAAGGCATAAATTAGTTATACACTAGGTTCTTTGTTTATAAGCGGAATGAAATTCCGCTTATACCCAAGACACCCAATATATAACTATTACATACTACTAGGTATATGGAAGGATTATTCATTTATCATCTCGAGCGTAATATTTAAGATCAAACCCACATCTAAGGTTCCAAACTCAGATCTAAAATTTCAAGCCCATACTATGTAATCTCGTTCAAAAAAAAATAAAAATTTACAAAAAAAAAACAATAATGCAATAAAAAAACTTTCATAACACAATATCCATGTTTAGCGCTATGTTTAATAATAATCTTTTCAGCACTCACAGAACCCTTATCGTTATGCATTTGCTAGGAATGCTATTTACTATTTATATAAGATTTCTTCCATGGAACTTTTTTGCACGTCTTAACTAAAAATGTATAAATATTGATTAGTTTTGCATAGGATTAAAAGCTTTGTGAGTGTGAGTGTATGTGTGAGTATGTGAGTATGTGAGTGAGTGTGTGTGTGAGTATGTGAGTAAGTGAGTGTGTGTGTGTATGAGTGTGTGTGTGTGAGTGTGTGAGTGTGTGTGTGTATGTGTGTGTATATGTGTGTGTGTATGTGTGTGTGTGTGTGTGTATGTGTATGTATGTGTGTGTGTATATAGCTTTTTCTATAACGATAATGTTAAGTACGTATAATGATAGAGTTTGAAATTTTGTAAAAAAAAAAAAAAATGAATTTAACACATACATTAGTTTCGTCAATTTTTCTAGAAACACATTCTGAAATTGGTTCATTAACAAATGATTTTAATCAGCTTAAAACCCTTTACCAAACTGAGAAAGATTATGAAATCAAAATGAAAGAAATATTAGAAGCGAATGAACCCGTTTCTGAAAGTGCAGATCATATAGAAAATGAGGAAATGTCATATTTTAATAATCAAGTTCTTACTCCGTTACAAATTAAAAAATTTCAAAAAATATTATTTCAAAATACTATTAAAAAAAAAAATGATGAACAAGAAATTAATGAAAAATTAACCGTTATCTTAGATCAACAAGAAAAAGAAGCATTTATTCATAAACTTCGTACATTGGTCTGTTGTAAAACCAAAACATGTCTAACCAAAATCGACCATGAATCTGCGTTTGAAAATTTTGATAACATTCGAAAATTAACAAAATTTGAGTACAATATGTTTTTATTAGGAATGCTTCATGCAATAGTTCATCCAAAAGAGACATTACGTGGTAAAGAAAAACAATACTTAACTGTTAGATATACTTTTGATGGAGATGAAATTTGTAAAAAAGCATTTCAAATCATATATTCACTATCATATAATAAATGGGAAGCTATCTGTCAACATTATCATATAAATAGTATTAAACCTATTAAACATGCACTTTTAGAAAGAAAATCTCATAACGCTTTATCATTCACGACTGTTTTAAATGCTCTTATATTTATTGTTAATTATGCAAACTGTCATGAATTACCATCACTAGGTAACATTATTACTTTATTGTACACTTGAGCCTTGTTAATATTAACCTTATTAATATTAACCTAAACATTAAATAAAATGAACTTTTATACTGAGTGGGTGAAAAGTTTCTGAACTGAGACCTTTTTTTTTAATCGCTATTATTATTGCAATAAATTAAAAAATTAAGTATAAATATAAAAATAAATTAAAATTTGTAATTTTAACTAGACAATAAAAAAAGGACCTGAGTCAAGTGTAATTTTAATTAATATTAATGATTCTTTTTATTAGGCCAGCATTTTTGAGAGGACACTATGGTTATTACATTTCTCTCCACTAGTGAAAGTTATGCTGTACTTTTTCGGATTTATAAATCAAATTTAGATGATGACTCTGATTACCGTATTAGCTGATGGTCTTTTATGCGAATTTGGAAGAAATATGTACCGGAAATTTGTTTTTTGTCTCCTAGAAGCAACCTGTGTATGATGTGTAAAAATATGCGATTTAATGCCCAATTTTGGGCAGAAAATGAGCGAGATAATAAAATTCAAGAATGGAGTAGTCATATTGAATAGGCAAATCAAGAAAGAGAATATTATAAGTACGAAAATTGATAATTTAAATTTTTTTTTTTTTCTTTATAAATATAACTTTTTATGAAAATTAAATTTTTAGACAATGCATATTAGATACTAAACAACAGTTAAACAATTTTAGCAGTTTATCTAGATTTTTACATCCGGGATTACCAAATTCTTTAGAATTTGAGAATCACATTTGTGGGACTTTGCCGAAGCTATACATCTTTCATTTTCTTCGCAGCAAGAGGTATTTATTCATAAATGTAGTTGACCCTCTATAAGTGCATCCTTTATAAGAGTATCTTCATATAATTTTTTCTCCTTATTACAGTATAACTAATATGCACGTATCTGCGATAATAATAAATAACTACTTACAGTAGCTCTCAAAAAAAAATGCATCACCTGAAAACAAAATTTTGAGCTCGCATATCTCTCCAACAACAAGCTATTTTGAAATAAATTCTTTTTTGTTTAATTGGCATAAACCCATAATGTTTAATGTTAAAATTTTAGCGAAATTAAATCACACAATCTCGATCTGCGTTAGATTTGTCAAATTTTGGCGATGCATTTTTTTTGAGAGCCTTAATTAAAATATATTAGTGATTTTAACTTTGGGCAAGAATATTATTAACAGGAGCCCAGATAATTTTAGTTTAAAGTTATCAGATTGTTATGTAGGTTTTTGGTATTTAAAAATATCCTTGGGCATTAAAATCGGTTAGGTCCTCATCGAAATATAAGCAATTTTAGCTAAACAAAATATTGTAATTAAAAATTTCATAATAAATTACTATTAAATTTTTAATCACGATGTTTTGTTTGGCTAAAATTGCATACACCTTGATGAGGACCCAACAGATTTTAATGTTCAAGGATATTTTTAAATGCCAAAAACCTACATAACAATCTGATAACTTTAAACTAAAATTATCTGAGCTCCTGTTAATAATATTCTTGCCCAAAGTTAAAATCACTATTATATTTTAATTAAGGCTCTCAAAAAAAAAATGTATCACCAAAATTTGACAAATCGTAATGCAGATCGAGATTGTGTGATTCAATTTCGCTAAAATTTTAACATTAAATATTATAAGTTTATGCCAATTAAACAAAAAGGAATTTATTTAGAATAACTTGTTGTTGGAGAGATATGCGAGCTCAAAATTTTGTTTTCAGGTGATGTATTTTTTTTGGAAGCCACTGTATAATTACGCATTAAATTTAGAATTTCTATAACTGTACTTTCTCCAGACAAGTGCAATTACGAGGGTTAACTGTATTACAATATGTATTACTATTAAATCTTTGTTTTAATAATATATATTTTAGGGGTCTATTTACTTTAAGTCTTTGCATAAAATTTCGATTTTTGGAATATGCGAGGATGCTTTTCCTCGACAGGTTATAAATTTTAATAATTAAAATTAACCTCCCTAAGTGCACTCTATAAGTATATGCTCTATGTATATTCTCTAAATACACGATATAGCTTGATCTTAACTCATAAGACCATTATATAATTTGCTCTTTATAAATGTACGCTATGTTTAATTGCATATTTTGTCTTCTTTTTTTTACTATGTATGGTCTCAAAGGGTGCACTTAAGGAGGTTTTACTATATAAATAAAATTTATATTAAGATTTTAATAATAAATTTATTTAGAAAAATTATTTAATTAAAGAAAATGAAGATGTTGGGAAAGGAGCGAATGCCGTTATCTCAATGGTTCACCATTATTTTGAAAATCACAGTCTCGGAGAAAAATATATTGTAATTCATGCCAACAATTGTCCAGAGCAAAATAAAAACAATGCAATAATAAAATATTTAATGTGGCGTGTTTTAAATAATTTACATAAAAGAATTATATATTCTTTCATAGTGGAGGGTCATACTAAATTTTCTCCTGATGGATTCTTTGGGTTACTTAAACTAAAACTTAGGCACTCTGAGGTGGATAACTTAGTAGATTTAGTTCAGGTCATTCAAGACTCTACTGTCGGAGGTTATAACACAACACAAATGATTTATGATCAAAATGGTACTCAACAAGTTCGATTTTACAAATGAGCCGAATTTTTAGATGAATTATTTAAGAACATTCTGCAAATCCTTAAACAGCATCATTTTATTATTTCATCAGATAAACCTGGCGTAATAGAAATAAAATCGGCAATAAGTAAGGAGAAAACAGAAATAGCATTATCAAAAAAAAATAAAATTAGTTTATTTCCTTTATCCACTTTTCTGGTTCCTCTTTTAGCAAAAAATTTAACCCTAGAGCGGCAATGGTATTTGTACAAACAAGTTCATATCCATATTCGTGATCTAGCAAAAAAAGATAAATTTTGTCTATTACCATCCATATCATATCCTATAGCAAAACAAAATTCATAAAATTTTTTAGTATAAATGGTATATAAGACAATAGGGTGTATACAATTAGTAGATTTACAAACATAGTGCAGGTTATATAGTAAATTCTCATAATACATTTTTTTTTATTAATCAACGATAGTGATAGTAAAATATATAATAAAATTCAAGTTGCAATAACTCTTGGACTAGCAAACCCACACAAATAAAATTATACTTATCGGATTTGTTTTAACATACTTTTTAAAGTAATAACGATCTTTTTTTTGTTTTCTTATCAAATATCTGATATTTTTTATTTTAAACTGAACTGTTATAAGAAATTTGTTATATTACACAACATGCAACGATGCAAACAGAAATTTTATTGTTACGTTTTTGATTTTTTTATCAAAAATGAGAACTTTGCATAAAAATTTCGAGTCTTTCGCCATACTCTAGACAATAAAAATAAAAAAAATAGCATTATTATTTTAAAGAGTATGTTAAAATGAACTTAACGAATGTAATTTTATTTATGCGGGTTTCTGGTTAAAGAGTTATTGCAGTTTGAATTTTACATAACATTCATCGATCTATAAAAAAAAGTTTATTATGAGAATTTACTATGTGACCTGTATTATGTTTGTAAATCTACTGATTGTATACACCCCAATAAGACAAGTACTCGTGCATATGATAACTTTTTAATCTAGCACAAATCTAATTGAGGCTAAAAGAACGAACGTAAGGCATTTACTTATCATTAAACATTAGGCCGTTTGAATTTAAAAGCTCGTTTAACGTTCCCTCCTCCTCTACCACTGGAGCTCCCCCGACATTAAACAAGCTGATAAAAAACGAGTATAAAAATATAAATAAATCAAAAAATCTCCCCAGGTATAAATGAACCTCAATCAAGTACAATTTGAACCTAAATTTTGGATCTGTTTAATTTTATTGTTTAATTTTTCTCCCTCCCCCTTTCAAGCAAATATGAAAAAAAGAACGTTAAACGAATCTTTAAATTCAAACTGCCTTAGCATAATTAGATATAATAATCGAATGTACAATATTGAATATTGCTATCAAAGCAGAAAAGAATAAATATAAGGAAGTTAGAAAAATCAATATTTATATAAATGTTAGACGTCGCTTTCAAATACTGATTAAAATGTAACGTATGTCAAATTTTGATGCAGCACTTTATATAAACCTTTTTCTTAAAAAAAAAGAAGTTTTTTTTTTATTTTCTTTATAATAATAGGGGCTTCAAATACTTGATTAGTTTGTTTCTTTTACTTAAAACTCTTTGAAAAAAATAGAAGTTATATAATAGATTGTTAAAAATACAATCACTGTCTAGTTTGTTTTACAAAACTTATCGAGTAAACATAAAAAACCCAAACTTTAAATATTAGGTTTTTAATACTTAAAATTAGATTAGCGAAGAATTGAATATTTAATCAGATAAACATAACTATGAAGCTTAAGTTTGTTCTATTAAAGGCTTTTTATACTGTTATTTGTCAATATAAACCTAAAAAATGCCTGTATGTTAAATTTAAAACTGGGTAACCTTGTAAAGATTTGAATCCTTAACATTAATAGGCTAAAAATGGATAGACAGGTATTGCATTATAAAGTTATCTAAATTGCGACTCGTACCAGGTGCGATACAAATTTGACTACTTTTTCAAACTTGACACAATTTCAATAGACAAATTCATCTCTTTATAAATGCAGGTTTCCAATAAAACTTAATTCAGCTAATAAAACTTCTTCAGGATATTACAAATGGGTTGTTGCCTAACAAAAGCATGCTTAGAGTATATAAAATATATATATTCTAAGCATAGTTTTGCTAGACAACAACCTAAATAAAATATCTAATTAAGAAACTGATCAAAATACAAGTAGTAGTTATTATTATAATAATAAAAATATGAAAAAGCCAATATAATAAATATAGATGTAAATTTGAATGTAACATAAAATAATAAAATTGTTTTTGTTTAATGATTTATTATCGATTGGTAAAATTAGAAAGTGACATCTAATATAAATAGCAGATAGTACCACCAGATTGATTAATAATAGTGAATATTTTTACGATTAAACAATACTTTTATTCTTTTGTTGTGGGCAAAATCCCTTAAATTGAAATATCGATGTTTAATCAATTTTAATAATTACAGTAAATTAAGATATTAAAATCTTTGAACGGGAATTGTAATAAATCGTTATATGATATTATATGACAAGACTTGCACTAAAGGTAGAGCATCTGCTTAAGAATATGACCTAATGAATCATCAAAGTTTGATTAAAAGAGCCCGAATACTCATAACGGTATGAACTGATCCATTTACTTCATTCATAATTAATTTTGTTAGTCTCTTTTTTTAAAGTAAAATGAAGTGCAGTCTAGTTCGGGTTTTCTACAATCACGTGCACTAGGTGCTGCAAAAATAGGGGAAATCGACAAAATTTTCAAACTACTTTTTTTTGTATAAATCAGTTTAGAATAATATCAGGATAATTTTTACTTAAGGTACAAACTAAGTTGTATTAATAAAATCTTGTAGTATAGCTTTCTGAAATTTGTATTTTCTTATTATTTAATATAAA